GGGTGGGGTTGACAAGAGACCCTGCAAGCGTTTTTAAAATCAGAGTTCACTCTTCAAATTACATTTACAGAATATATATATGTATACTGTATATATATTTATATACATACAGAAAATATGTTTCCCAAAGAAAAAAAATAAAAGGTACAGTAGACCACTAAAAAAGCAATGATGCAAGGAGAAATAAGAACAAACTAAACAACAAAAATATCTTGAGCTGGAAAAAGAAGCATCATTGTCCTATTTACAGATGAACCTGGCCACCTTTTAACTACCTATAAAAATACTATCCTCTTTTTATTCATTTTTTATTTTTTAACAATGGTAAAACTGTTGAGTGACCCATTATGTCTTTGTCATTTGGTTAAGACAATTATTAATTCCATTTTACAATTTTACCATCAATTCAATACATCGTAAACTGTGCTTACTCAACCACTGTCGTCTACCTCAGTTATCATGGCATGGTACAATATACACATATGAATAAGTGTTAAATCAGAGTATGACAGCCATACACAGTTTGATTCTATTACAATGGTAGAATACGTGTTTGTTAGCTGCTTTATGATTTCCCTTGTGATTTGTTTGATGATCCAATGACCAACACCATTTTGAGTAATGGTGAAGTTCTCTGAAATGTAGGGTGTGTTTATCCAATACAGTAAGACCATTTAAACCACAATTGGATCGATATTACCAATGCTGTGAAAAAAGTCCTCATGATATGAATAATCAAAGCATAGAAAAGTGAAATAGAGCACACTCTATAAATACAGTTGCTGTGTCCCAGTTCAGGGGCTGGACCCTCCAAAGTCCTCATTTCTGGGTTGGATGCGTCTTAACAGCCTAACAAGGGCTGTCACATTTCAAAGCAAAAATAAAGCCTGCCTTTGCTTTGGAGAACACAACTGGTTAATCATTTGCAGTCCTCAATATCCCACAATCAACTGTGGTCAGACAATCCTCACAAACTTGTAAAGCTGGGAAATATCATGTGATGTCATATTTACCAGATATTAATCATATTACCTTAACTAAACCAGTGAAACGTAAATAATGGAAGCTCGTTATGAACTCCACTGTTTGTTGCCATTTTCAGCCTGGACATGGTAATTACAGGAGATTTGAAAGTGGAAGTTACTTGGATATTTTCACTATTAATGTTGTCTAACTTGCCAGTTGTGCATCATGTGTTAAGGTGACATTAGTCATGTTTCTTCTATTATACTATTATATTCTATTATACTATTATAGTCACTATTGTTACTATTATTGTTGTCGTGCATTTCTGTCTCCCTGTCTCTCTCTCCAACCCCCTCTGTCTCTCTATACCCAACCGGTTGAGGCAGACAGAAAATCCACTAGAGCGGGGGTCTAATCCAGGTTTCTGCATCTTAAAAGGATGTTTTTTCTTTGCCACTGTGGCCAAGTGCTTCTGGTGGGTATTGTTGTGTCTCTATAAATTATTTTATAAGGAGTATGGTCTAGACCTGCTGTAGGCTATATGAAAAGAGTCCTGAGATAACTTTTGTTTTGATTTGGCTCTATACAAATTTAATTGAATTCTATGACCAAAATCATACTATAAAGTCTCAGTCCCAGTCCCAGGCCCAGTCAACAACTGGAATTTAAATGCCACAGGGTGTCAATATTAGTTTTGGGCTTTGTTTATCTAGTATCATTAGACCAAGATAAGCAGACTGAATGACCTCATGACAACATCCAGCCCATGAGTTGGGTCATAGCTAGCAATTGCTTTAAAGTTGGTCTGAGAATATGACAATATGACAATATGACATTGACAAGTAAGACAATGAAGCCGTTAAACTGCACGTAAAAAAGTAAAATAAAAAAGCCCTGCCACAGTGACACCCTGAAGAGCAAAAATTTGAGTAAAAACAAATCTTTACACACCATTTACAATACTTGTGATAACATTTGTTTAAAATACATTAACCCCCCCCCCCAAAAAAGAAAGTAGATGCACAAAATAAATAGAACTGTTTTTATAAGGCCGATTTACTGGATGAGCAGTCAGTATTGAGAGGGAGTTATTGTGCTCCTTTAAATAAGTTCTGTATCTATGAGTCTATACCTATATTAAACATAACATTATATCTTCTCACATGAAACTATGATTCATGTTAACATTTGACCACAATCGCTTTTTATCTCCAGATTGTTTTAGTCTTTGTTCGTATTCACTCCACAAATAGCTGCTTTTCGGTTTTCACTGCTTCAGCTGCAGAACAGTGTTTGCTACATACAATTCTATAGTCACCTCCGAGGAGAAAGAAAGAATGGCAATCAACTTTGGTCTCCTCTGCCAGTTACAGTGCACTTGCACCTTCTCCCCTGCTAGCTTTTGTAACATTGATGCATTGGTCGGGTAACATTTCTGGAATGCTAATACCTTAGTTTTAACCTCGCTGCAGGATTACAACCTATTGCCTGTCGTTCAGGGTTTCTCAGCTGGTGCACTGGGTGATATGTTGGGTAACATGATTTCCCCACAGAACAACAAGAGAAAGTGGATGAATTAGCATTCAAAAAGCTAAAAGCCCCTTGCGATGCTTGCTGGCTGAGAGCACCAGCAGGTTTTCTCCTCCAGAAGATTGGCTTTATTTTTCCATAGAGATCCATTACGAAACCTTTGGGTGACTCTCCACTGCTGTCATTGCACTTAAACACACGGCCATACAGTAATCTACAAGCACTACAACTAATACCTTATGGGTGATGGTAAAAATAGACTTACATAACGACTTTTAACTCCAAATATATGAAGAGGGCACTTTCACTGGACATATTTTCACAAAGAAAGTATACAGAAGTGTAAGCTTAAACTATTAAATCTGAAATCAGCAGAACAAGATCTCTAAATCAGGTTAGTAACAGAGCAGTGTCAGTGACACTTGACCAATGACCATTCAAACCCCCCCCCCCCCCACCCTTATAGAATTCACATTTCAGCATTATGTTTACGGTATCATGGCACTAATCTGTCTTCCATTATATTTTCATTTCAGTAGGTTTGATGTCCCTTTATGATGTGCTAACTTGTGCCTCAGCTGGAGCTCAACTGGATGATTATTGTTCCCCATAAAACCTGAGAGGGGGAGAAAACACAGTGCCAGGGCAACATCTGTGTTTTGGACAGTAAATCATCAGCACTGCTTGTCTGAATCTTCCCTCTGCCTGGTATTTTCAATGTAGAGGCACAAGGTTGTGTGTAACAGTGGTTGTGTGTTGGTATGTCAGCAGTGAGACATGCACAGGCATTAGTCGGTCTACAAATTTCATGATATTATCATTTATTACTCTGACTGGGCGATATAAAATAAAATCTCATATCAGGTTTGTATTGGATTAATATTGCAATATCATTTTATATCAGAATATCGTAAAATTGGAGGTGCAGGGTTTAGAAAGTAGAAAGAGTCGAATGACTTGAGCTGCACCGACTTCTGTTGAGTTGAATTGTAGGATTATGTGTTTTTGGAGCTTAAAAGTCCAGTATGTAAAATTTAGGAGAATCATAATTGGCAGAATGAAATATCATATCCATCAGGTGGATAGATAGATACCGATGTTTTTATTACAAAAATCCTACTGAAAATTAGAATTGGTTGTGTTTATTGTTACCTTAGAATGAGCCTTTAATACTTTACATGATGCCACAGTCCGTCATAGAGGTCACCCACTCGTTCAGAATTGCATGTTTCTAAAGAGCCAGAATGGACATACAAACAACTGGCTCGTAGATAGGGCTTCACTCGTCTTATTTGGCTAGTGTCACACCTCGTAGTTTCTCTACACATTCACAGCTCATTCTCATTTTTACAGGCGCCCTTTCAATTTCAGAATGTTGAATCTTCACTTCACGCGCTTAATGCACCTAATCTTACACACTGGACTATTAAGGCATACTAGGCGACTGGGTCTGCTGCTTCAATATTTGCCATTCTTTTTAAAAATTTTCCAGGTGTATTTTTATTACATTGATGCAAAAATCCTGTAAATCAAATATTGTCAGCAGTGCCTGCTACAGCATAGAAAATCAAGAAATATCAAAGGCATAGCTACCTGGGTATAAATGCTATTGAAAAATTGACAAATTTCTATACCCTAATGTTGTGTAACGCTGTATATCGCCCAACCCCACATATTACTATTATGATATTCTTTAGAGAGTGGGGATATTCCTTTTTTAGTAAAATGCCTAATTAAACACATAACATGAAGCCTTAGTGCAATGGAAATGATCTATTGCCTTGCTGTAAATTATAGTTGCAATATGATGAAAAAAACAATTAGCTTAGAGCGAGAATAACAGCAAAGTCATTTGGCTGTGTCAGAGCATTAAGTGCTATTATATTATCAACCCCTGCCTAAATTAGGCTTCAAAGTCATTTGACGACAGATGCTAGTGGTCTCCATCAGAGTTTACTGTGGCATCTGGCAGTATTGTATGAGTACAGAAAGCTAGCCATCAGTGGATGTCTCACCATTAATGTCAAACACTGATACAAAAGAAAGAGTCCCATTTTCTCATGGTGCTCCATGGTAAAAATGTGGAGGAGGCCTCCTTGGACAGTTTTGACAGTATCTCCTCCTGAACCACCTTACCCTTAAAGAGACAGAGCAAGGCCCTGTACTTGTGACTAAGTGTTCAAAGTTGATCTTTTGTTTTTATTACATAAAATAGTATGAACACTGAGAGGTGCAAAGAAAATGTTATCCTTGTCCAGACACAGTTCGGTCCACAGGGCCTTTTCCAGAATTGTGTATGTCTGGTAATGACATGTGATTGGCTTATTTACAGCTCTGCAGGTTTTAGCCTCTTTGCCATCTCCAGTGCTCATTCGTGGCTGGCTGTCTGTGCTGTTTGCGTAAGAGTAAGCTGTAAGACAAGGTGACAAAGTAAACAGATCCCTGATGCCTGAAAAAAAACAACAACAAAAAA